AGTGATGTTTTAATGATGGGAGGATTTGTGGTGGGTGACTTTCCATTTTTGTCTCAAACGTGTATATGAGCTTCATTTTTAAATTATATCCCAGAAACAATTAAAGACATTAAAACTTACTTTAAATTTTACCATGTATAAAGCATCAGTGAGTCTGTTCATATTGGCATGTTCTTTCCCAATCTAAAATAGTGGAATAGACAGGTTAAATAAGAAAACACCACCTATTCAAAGCAGAATTGTAGTCGTTCTTATCTGAATCTCAACATTCCTACTAAAGTAAGTTTAACAGCAATTTGCAATGAGCTACTTCTTCCAATAAATCATCTGTTTTCCTTAAGCACTTCTTAAATATGTAGCTTGGTTCTCAAACACTTGACAGCATAATGCTTTTCATCATGTAAACATGCTATTTTTGTGATTCTTACCTCCAAGAAAACACCAACTACTGCCAAGCCATCTGGAGCTGCTGCTGCTTCTCCAAATGTTGCATATTTTCTGGCATTCCAGTGAACTAAGTGGAGCTTTAAAGAAAAATAACAAGTAAGAATTAAACAAATCAGTGATAGAAGCTGTGAACATAGGTTGTCTCATGTTAGCAGGCACTAATGGTCATTCATTACAGAGCGTAGGTTTTGCACCAAAGGCATCTTTGGAAAGATGAGCAAGTTCAATCTTTTGGACCAGTCCATAAGCATGGACAGCCACTAAAAGTTTCTATGTATCAGCCTTAATTTGAAACAAATCAATCATCAACCTGTGACAAAACTTCCCTGGTATGGGCCTTCATCCCATGGAGCACTATGTGCCAGTACTCACTGGTAGACTCCAGGATGCTACACTACTGCAGCATTTGGGATATTGTGCTGGGAAAGGCCTGTGCCTTGTCTTAGCTTTGCAGAACCTAAGAGCCCACAGATGAAGCCCTTCCGAAGCTACGGACAGCACCAGCATGGTCATTTCACAGGTTGTGATCATCAGCTGAAGCCTAAGTTAACAGTGCCATCTAGAGCTATATGTGGGCTTCTCAGCATCATGTTTGCCAGTATATCCTTCCCATCTGTGTAAGGCAAAGGATGCAATCAGTTGTGTGCAGCAGGCTGAACTACATAATGAACTGTTAGAGGTGCTGTGTGAGCAGGTAACTGTGGGGCTACCTGTGTCCTGTTGACCAGGGTAAGATGACTGAGAAGCTTGGAGAGAGGGCTACATTTGGGGGATAAGTTTCCATTCTAAAAAACAGAGTGATCAACAGAAAACTTCAGTGTAAAGAATAAAATCCTCATTGAAGTCTGTGCTGACCAAGCAAATCAAAATCCTAAGGGACAAGCAGTCCTCACTGCAAAGTCGTTTGTCAACAGCATTTGCATGCATTAATTCCATCTGTAAAAGCAGATCATTACCTCACATGGAAAGGGTTTGCCATCAATCGTATGCTCCGATCCCTGGCTGTGCTTTGTCCCCCAGTGGAAGTGAAACTGCTTTAGCCGAAATGGATTCTCAAAGGGACCACCACTGATTGCTAGGCAAGTAAAAAAAGAAGGAAAAAGTTAAGCATTGTGGCTTTTTAGCTTCCTGTTGGTAAAAACTAACCACTGTTGGCACAATAGTGGAAAAGTCAGCAGCATCTCCCAGTTGCCAATATCAAGGATATGCATCATCCAGGCATTTAGAAGGGTTGGATTTCTTAATGGAAAGCACCTGAATTCATGTAAATTCAAATTAAAAAACACTGAGTGGCTACCTGTACAGAATTTTGTAGCTTTTTTAAAAGAGTATATTTGACATATGAAGATGTGGTAGCTTTGTTATGGTTATGCCTTTCTTGTTAAGCACAATAAATCCAAGTTGAATGTTAAACAATAAATCACAATTTGAAACTCATGTACCTAAAATATTTTTGACAGTGCTACTTGATTTTGTGCAAAGGAGTGTAGATTCCTTGAGCATCAGGTAGACAATTTAGCTAGGTATTTCCTTGTTAGAGCATCTTTCCTTCTTGTGGAAGTTACCTATATTGTTTCCTTTAAATACCTGATGCCATAAGAGAGGTAATGTAATAGCTTGTACTTTACATGACACCATTCAGAATCTCAAATCACCTTATGAAGGTGAAGAAATGCTACAGAGAAACTTCATACATCATTTAGAAATAACACTTAAGAGATTAATGTTTAAGACACCACCTATAGAAGATACTTTATCAACAGTAATCCTCCTATAATTATATATGGCACTAAATCAAATAAATTTTGCCCAGACTTGAAAACCTGGTCAAAGTCCTACGTTAAGAAAATTTAAACTACATTTGGTATTTGTAAACCACTTATCCTCAGTTTAATCCATAACATTAAAAAAAAATCAAAGCTGGGGCTTGCACAGTGCTACCACATGTGCATAGTTCCAGCCGGCCTTTATGCAGGAGACTGGCCTTGCCAAAGCAATGGTTTTAGTATTAAGAATATAAGTACCTCCTAGTATGTTGTTCTAAACTGAGCGATAGAATGCATCACCTGCCTCAAACATTATTTTAAGAAATCTAGCCATGATGGGTTACTGTCAGATTTCTGTTATGCCATTTATGCAGAGCTGTGAGTCACTAGATCTATTTCAACACAACTAAAAACACTTTAAACCGTATTTTCCCCTCCTAGCAGTCTTCTTCCTTGAAAGTGTTATTAAAGCAAGGCATGTGCTTAGTGTAGAAAGGGCAGAGGTCTTCATTCCTGCATGTGCTCTGACTCTGTATCTCTCAATGCAGAGTAATAGATGATGATCTTAAACCTCTAAAGCTGTATAAAGTTCATTTACATATAGTTCAGCTTAGAATGGCACAAAAGTTAGCAAGATGAGATAACACTTCCAGACAAATTTTACAAATTCTTTGTAGGGTGACATGCTTAATGGAACTGTGTAGTAAGATTTTGGAAAATACACATCCAGTCTTCTCTTCAAATTCCGTAAAGATGCTTGAAAACCTGACCATTCATTTGGGCAGTTTCTTAGATTCCTTCCAGAAGAGGATTTTTGAAACAAAATGTCTGTAATTTTAACCCCCAGCTCTTATTTCAAAGAGTTACCAGCACAGTAAGTGTGGACAAGTCATTTCACAGAAAAAGTAACTTGTTGTGAGTATCTAGACTGTCCTATTTAGCTAGAATCAATAAACACACCCAAATGGAAAATTAAATCAGCCGATCGGTTTAAAAATTGTTCACAGCGTTTTTAGAATGCACTCTTCATCTCCATTTGAATGTTCTTCCCCTACCCTCTAGATGTAAAAGCAAGGTCTGTACCATGGAATTAGAATTAACAGAAGTAATCAATCACTTAAAGCATTTATATTCTCTGCCAAGAGCTAGGAGACAAGAATATGTAACTGCAGAAAGTCCAACATCCACAAGCTGCTGCCAACTCTGAATTAGCTGAAGGTTTTACAATTTCTGAAGAAACTGAACTGCTCTGAGGCAGGGAGGAAAGAAGAAAACAATGCAAGGTAACAGTTAGTGTCTGGTCCAGATACAGCTTGGTGTAGTCAACTATGATTATGGCGACTACGCTGTATGACCTGATCTCTGGTAATCCTCTTCTCTTCCCTACCCTGTGGATGGAAACTAGGCAGTGAGCCAGAGAGCTGGCATGTGTTAGCATCTTTGATTTGGATGATCATGGAAACAGGGTAGTGAGTAGCATACATATCTACTCTGCATGCTGGATGTGGTCTAGGAGTGCTGGGGAGACATGGATTCCCTGCCTAGCAAACTGACAGTCCCATTTTAAAAAGGGAAGCACTGCAAACCAACTGCTTTTCCTGATGCAAGAGCTTTTCCGAACGCAGAAACACTATTCTGCTGTGCAATATTGCATTGCTAGAGACGAGTGAAGACAAGAAATATGAGGCTCAAGAAGACAAAATATGAAGGGCTCTAGTCATATGCCTTGTTCTAAACTGTAATTATAGATCACACAAAATACACGATACACGATGTACTGGGTGACTTCCCTCAGTCAGTTACAGAATGGTATTCCAAGTTAGTTGGCTTTGTGTCAGTCTCACCTGTCTTGTCATCAGTATCTTCAAACTCAACGATAACTGAGTGGCCATTGTTGGAGATGTTCAGAGATGTACATGATTCATAGGAGATAATAAGCGGCTTCAGATTAGGGTCATAAACTACTCTTGCAGAAACTATATCAATAGGTGACTGGCGGTTCCCTTGAGCAATAGGATAAGATTTGTGCCACTCTGAAGGTCCTTCAAAAGGAAAGAAAGGAAAGCACCATTATTTTCCTCCCACGATGCACAAAATAATGATTATAGGTTTTCATGAGGCTTGAAGTAAAGCTTGCTGAGCAGGAGCTACTTGAAAGTTTGGTATCCAAGAAGTTCAATTAAATTCTAAGCTGCTGTATTTGCATTAGCACAAACAGGCTGCAACAAGAGGCGGGATTCAAATATCTTGGACAAAACACACTGAGGAAGTGACCCCACATCAACAGACTGCTGCATCTTCAGTTACTTGTGCCAGTAGTTTTCTGCAGAGTTTGTAATTACACTGCTAAGGTATCTGAAGACCTTCCAAGGTGGGCGCAGGTATAAGCACACTTGCACGCACACATACACTCCCCCAAAGAAACAACATTTAATTCTTCCCAGGAAAGATAGTGTAAAAGCTCCAGTGATTCAAATTAGATGCAGATGACTCAATCTCTTAGCTACTGACTATGCAGTTATTTTTAAAACAATTTTATGACTGCAGTAAATCTTTGAGGCAGCTTCATTCTTCCCTCATGCCCATTATGGTATCTCTCTACCCTGACTGAAGGGTACAGTGTGATAATTAACATTTTTGGACTTCCTGACCCCAATAGAGTGGGGAGACAGACCAATTTAATAACACAGCTCTCTGCTGGCAGAGCTGGAACATTCTTACGCTGTTTGAGATAAGAAAACCTTATCTGTATCAAAGAATTATTTATTCTTACCATTTCTTTTTCTACTTAGTAGTGCAAGAAGCAATTAAATACTTTTGAACATAAGCGGTAGAATTAACAGCAACAATTTTACTTTAAGATTCCCAAGAAGCACATTTTTAATTGTAGCATTCTCATATACTTTCCACTTGTGAAAAGTTTTTTTAATCAAGCACAGCTATTTACCCTTCTTGAGTTTATATAACAAAACCAGTTATTTTTATATTCATATTTGTCTTTAGCATGTTCTGAAATGCTAAGCTTATAAATAATATTTTTTCTCCTCAGCCTGCCCATAAAGCAGGTTTATGATTTAAATGCTGTTACACAAGCTTAGGCAATATCATTTGTCTCTCTTCATAAGAATATACATGACTTTATCACTACTACCTATATGCCCAAACACATAACACTATCTACTAGCACTAACCAGCTTCACTTAGCATTCAAACTTGCTTTTGGACTCAGAGAAACTAAAATAATTTCTGTTAAGAGAGAGACTGGCTCCTGAAGGTTATGCAAAAGACTCTTGTTGGACACTCAGCTGCTAAAATAATTGCTGTCAAAAGTGAGAGACTCCTGAAGGTTATGCAGAAGATTGTCTTACTGGACCGCACCAGACACTCATCCGTCCACTGTAAAGGATACAGGTGCTATAAAACACTACTGTAGGAATCCTTCAGTAACTTCATGTATCCTCTCACTCTGTAATACACATGCTTAGAGGTGGCAAGCAAAGGAGGATGACTAAATTAAAAACTGTCAAATCAGAAAGCGTAAGTTGTTCTGCAAGAGATCTCTATGCTGATCTGTACAATTTATGGATGTTTTAGAAATATATAGCATACACCTTCTTTTATTCAGTTCTAGGGAAGCCTAGATATCACATTTCAGCAGCTGCACAGGATCAGAAGATCTATTACCAGTCTACTAAATCTTCTTTACTTAAAATAATTGCTTTTGGAGAAACAGACACAGTTAATCCTTTCCATAACATCTTTTTGGAAAGGGACCCAGCTGTAATATCTGCAGTCTGAAAAAAAACACACTCAGTACTGCTTCCCTCAGTTTTGGGACATTGATCGCAACAATGAAAGGCAGCAGGCATAAGTTCGTGCATCTTTTGGTACCACTTTCTGGGTGCCATTTATTATCAACAAAGTAATAAATTACCTGCTGTACATACTTGCAGACTTAAAAATGCAGGCAGCTCTGCAGGGCTCAGGCAGCAGTTCTACAAAAAGAGCGGGGGAAGACAGAGATGCAGCATGGAAACGCTGTAACCTACCGTCATCCTGCCCGTATCCCCAGCTGCGGTGGCCGGTCATGACGGGGCCGCTGCGCCCTGCCCGGCACCCGGCGCGGCACTGCCGCTTACCTACCTTTATAGCGGCTCGCCGTGGGGTAGGGTCAGCCCCTTAAAGACACAGAGCAACCGAAGCAGCTCCTGCAGGACGGGGAGAGCACCCGCTTTCCTCCTGCTCCCAGCTGGGCTGCTCCCGCTCCTGCTCCTGCTCCCTCTAGTTGCTAACTCAGCACGGGAGAAGGAAAACGTAAAACTGAGATACCTGAAGTCCCAGGACTTAGAGAGGAACCAAGACTGCCCAGGTGGCGTGGGGATCAAATTTAGAAAAAGTAGTAGTATTTTCCCATTCTACACCACAAGGAAGCAGGAGACGTAACCTGTTCTGAGCATCAGGGCACAGTAACGTGTGCAGGCTGTAATGGGAACTGCCCTTCTCACCTGTATGTTCTGCAGGGGGAAACATCACCTAGTTACTGCCTCTCTTTTCTTAAACACTCTCTCCAACTGCAAAAAAATGATGCTTCCACCTGACTTGTAATTAAAACTTCAGAATCCGTGCTTAGATGAGATGGACAACATTCTCATATCAGAAAAAAATTACTTGTGCTACTTTTAAACTAGGTAAAAATCACACCAGTTAAGGATAAATTGGCAATCTGTTTTTTTCTTCTTTGTAACTCTAAAGAAACCTTTTTAAAGGACAAAAATAAAAGTGTAGTTATATTAGCGAACAGATCACAGCAGACTCTAAAGAAAGGAGCTGATCTGTGAAGCCTGTTATCTGATCCAGGAGTTGCCTGCATCCTGCTAAACTCATGAAGAGGCTACAATGAGATACTCAATCTGCAGCTGTAAAATGTCTTAAGATATCTTTGTGGCAAGAAAAATGGCTCCTTGGCAGTAATTTTGTTAGAGCTGAGGAAACGCTGTCTGTCAAGGATACATTTTATAAATATATTGATTTTCACAATGACAATAGCACACATAGGTATTCTTCTATGCTTTCTAAAGAGGTATTCTTCTATTATGCAATCAAGCAAATGGAAGCAAAAAAATCAATGAAAGCATTTTATGCAACTTTTATATTGTGGTGCTGCCTTGTAAGAATTAATTTCCTTTTTCAGGAGCTTTTTATAGGAGTAGCTATAAAACCTTTGAGATCAGTGATGCAAGCTAAATCACTGAATAAGGGTCGTAAACTGCTATAAAAGTATCCACAGAGTAGTTCTACAATGACTTACTTAGGTCAACTTCTCAATTTATTTTTGTTAAACTACTGTGATCTACTCAGGTAGGCCTGACACTGCAGGTATGCCTGTGGCCGAATAGTCCGCACACACAGGTCCTCATGGTGACTCAAATACTGGAAGCAGTACAGCAGCGCTGACATTGGGTTAAAATACTTCACTGCTTAGCAGGAAAAATGAGTTGTGAGAAGTTGTGATGCTTTGTTTTGTATTCTTGTGTGGCTCTGTGCTGTGTTTGTAGACAGGGAAGGCAGATGTAGACAGTCAGGCAGATGAAGAGTCAGCCAGATGCAAATAGTCAGGACAGCTGTTCTAGGCATGGGAAAAAGTACAAAAAATACCAACTTGCCAGTGAAAAGGAGAAATGGAAGAGGAATTCTGTGTATTAAAAAGGCAGACTAAAGATTGGGGAAGACCGCGTGCAAGATAGAGAATACTGAGCAACTGTTTGCAAGAGAAACTTAAAAACTGAGGCTCAGATCTTGCTTGCAGGACGAAGTGCCATTGAAGTGACCCAATGCATTTGACATCATTCACCACTTCAGCTTTTATCTTCTCACATTTGAAAACACATAGGTGTCTACATATGTGGGCTACAAAGGCAGGGCATAGTGAGACGAGAAAACATGCTGGAGACATGGCAGGAAGTGGACTCCACAAAATGGAGGTTTAAATGGTTGGGTTTAGAAAAAGTGAAAAGGGGGAGTGACGGTACCCGAGAGGGGAAAAAAAAAAAATCTTAGACAACATCTTAGCTGTAAATGATAGCCGGTATGTATATGACAGTTTAATGTGCTACCCCATCCAATCAGCCTTCTTTCTTTTTGAGGAAAATATTAAGTTTTCCTTAAAGCTAGGGTAATAGAAATTATATTTCCTGGTTATACAAATATCACATTATTCTGTAACCCTAATGCCTCTTGATACTGGCTGCCTCTAAGAATGGATTTTCACTGATTCTGTCCTCAAATCACCATTTATCACTTCAAAAGTTGTGGTAGTAATCTAATTCTGATCTCAATTTTACTAGCTTGAATTGAGGATAATTACATCACACTCATGAATTTATGAAAGTGAGAACAACAGAGTGGTAGGTGTTTAAAGGGTGGATTTCTCCAATGCTGAGTTAAAAGTGAAGTAATAGTGGTTTCCACAAATTTCTCACAGGCTTTGACTACCTCTCAAAAGTGTCTGCTTAGAAGCGAATGACAGGAAGATGTAGTTCTGTCCAGTACAGTGAAACATTTCAAGGTACCTTAAAGAGTAATGCTTCATACTTACGGTTTTATTCCTCTTTGACAGTAATGATGAGGGAACAGAGCAGCAGCCTAGGACAATGGGTTCTTCTGCTGACATTGGTTCCCCCCCCCCCCCCTGCCACTATGTTGTGGTACTGAACTAACAACAAACGCTTCAGTCTTCCCATCTGATATACAGAATAATTATCTTTATGATTTAATCTGAGCTCCCTTTATTAAAATTGCTATATAAGAACTAGCCGTTATGGTTAGAAAGCTCCAAGTAAGATTGGAATGACAAATAGAAGTTGAACCTATTAAGCTTTGCAGGTTTGAGGAAATTGGATTTTTGAATCTCTAAGGCAAGTTGTCTCTGTAATACAGATCTGGAGTCATTGGGAGGTATTTGCACAAGGAGATCATGTCACTTGAGGATAACGCTTTTGGTATATATTACTGCATGTCCACAGAGGGGCAGACCTGCATTTTAGGAGATGTAAAATGAAAGAATAGTTACTTGGTTCCAAGGCGAATGGCTAAATGGCACTGTAAGTCTATTTGCTTAAATAACTTGGCAATTATCTTTGCTGAGCATCTTTAATAACGGCGACATATATTTGAACAAGGTTTCATGTGCCTTTTTTATTGAATGCACGTGGGTGTGTCTGATGTGTCATTGCCTATTAACAAAAATATGTCAAAAATACAGTCAGTTTGGGTACAGGCTGCTCACTCTAGTGCCTTTGAAGTATGATAGGTAGGCGCAGATTAAATGTTAAAACATTCATCACTCCAGAGCTTGCCTACACCTCAAGTTCTTGAAAGAGTATCTTCTTTATCCAGGCAGCTCATCTCTCTCCTTACATTGCCATTACTAATGCTGGCAGTTTCCAAATGGGAGTTACACTAAGGTGACATATGTTCTTTATGTGTGCATTGAAATAATTTATAATTAATCCAGAAACTGCACAAAAATACTTCAAAAAGTGAATATAAACAGGAGGGTGTAGTGCTAACACTAAACATTAAAAAGCAGAATAATTCCAGATTTTTTTTCATTTTTTAGTATTTTATTTAAAAAGTGACTGCCTACACTTGTTGATTGACAATGGAAATTTCAAATTTTATATTCTCAAGTTTTTCTTTGCAAACACAAAAACGTGATGACTGCATATTGAGATGCTTATGCATTCAGTGTAACTTCAGGAGCTGAAAATGGCAATCCCTCTCCCACTGCTACATACTGAGATTCATGAGATTTCTAAGGGGAAGAACTCAACATTTATTTACTGGAAATCTCTGTCTGGCATAATGGGGGGGGGGGGCAGGGGAAGGTCCCTAAGTAATGAAGGGATTGAGAAGAAAAGGACAAAAAGGACATGCATAAAATTAACAGACAATTTTGCAAGAGAAAAAACTTGAATGAAATATGGACTAAGCGGTCCAAGAGGAAAGAAGGAATTTATTTGGAACATTCTTGGGCAAGTGGGGCAGAACCAGAGGACCTGGGTACCTGGCTCTCTAGGAGTTTCCCAGCCTTCACATGCCATTTTTTATTATTACTTGTCTTTGATTTTTAAAGCTATACATACGTGGCTGCTTTATACCAGAAATGGGGACTATATTTTGGAACAAAGTCTGACATAATAATTCTTGTAATTTATGGTTTGTCCAGTTGAGACTGTGTAATTGCAGCACATAGCAAGAACAGAACGAGACAACTTCTGATTTTAGTGAACAGAGCATTCCTACAAATATTGTAGCAGTCACTGAAATTTCAACAGAAGGAAGGATTTACAGTGACATAGCAAACACAAAGCCTGAGAAAAGTGAACTTTGGAGAAGATACTGTACATGGGAAAACAAAAGAGGAAGCACTATATTGTATTACAACCTTATCTGCAAGCTATAAAACACTAAATTGTAATCACACTGTTGCATAATTTATTCCAGCAGATATATAGAGAATTAAATTTACTAAAGAGAAACAGATTAAAAGGATAATAGAATACCCTTGTATGGGCTAACAAATCATCTGGAATGATGCACACATTTTAGCACCTGTTGAAACTTGTTGAAACTTAGTGCCATAGATGTTGGTTGAAATTTTGAAAGATGTGAAAGTTTTCTCTTTTTTTGTACACTTTCATAGTACAATCTATGTTAGTCCTTTACGGAAAGATTTTCATAACAGAAGTACATAAGACGCAACAGATTTAAAGATTTTATTGTCTCAATACTAAATAGAAGTAATTGTAATGAAGTACACCATCTCTGCAAGATATATCTAAGCCGATTTTTCTGAATGCAGGTATCTGCTGGGCTTCTGACTCAGACTGCTGTAAAATGCTTCAAACTTCATACCAGAAGATGAAGTACCCATTTTGAATACAAATTCTGGGGACAGCAACTTATTTTTGGAACTACGTTCCTGAAGGAAACAGCATCCTGTGGTTCTAATGCTGGTGACTCCCATGAATTTCAGCGTCTCCCAAAGCCACCAAGGCCTGCTTTCTCCGTGTCATTTTTTTTTTTTACCGTTTTCCCAGCTGCCGTCT